TAAAAGTGACAAGTCTGGTCTAGAAAGCAATGACACACTGTGTCTAAATAAGCGACAAATTAGTCTAGAAAACAGTGACAAATTAGTCTAGAAAACAGCGACAGGTTAGCCTAGTAGATTATGCCGAGAAAACACGAGAGATGGGCGAGATGTGTTTGCCGAGTTAAAAAATTGGTGAGTCAATGTCAGGTGCTGTCATGGTGTGTTGTCTGCAGGGTGCGTGGGGTGGGGGCGATATAAACTTATCCTGTGTGGGGAGGTGGGGGCGATATAAACCTATCCTGTGTGGGGGAGGTGGGGGGGATATAAACCTATCCTGTGTGGGGGAGGTGGGGGCGATATAAATCTATCCTGTGGGGGAGGTGGGGGCGATATAAATCTATCCTGTGTGGGGGAGGTGGGGGCGATATAAATCTATCCTGTGGGGGAGGTGGGGGCGATATAAATCTATCCTGTGTGGGGGAGGTGGGGGCGATATAAACTTATCCTGTGTGGGGGAGGTGGGGGCGATATAAACTTATCCTGTGTGGGGGAGGTGGGGGCGATATAAACCTATCCTGTGTGGGGGAGGTGGGGGCGATATAAATCTATCCTGTGTGGGGGAGGTGGGGGCGATATAAATCTATCCTGTGGGGGAGGTGGGGGCGATATAAATCTATCCTGTGGGGGAGGTGGGGGCGATATAAATCTATCCTGTGTGGGGGAGGTGGGGGCGATATAAATCTATCCTGTGGGGGAGGTGGGAGCGAAATAAATCTATCCTGTGTGGGGGAGGTGGGAGCAATATAAATCTATCCTGTGGGGGAGGTGGGGGCGATATAAATCTATCCTGTGGGGGAGGTGGGGGCGATATAAATCTATCCTGTGTGGGGGAGGTGGGGGCGATATAAATCTATCCTGTGTGGGGGAGGTGGGGGCGATATAAATCTATCCTGTGGGGGAGGTGGGAGCGAAATAAATCTATCCTGTGTGGGGGAGGTGGGGGCGATATAAATCTATCCTGTGTGGGGGAGGTGGGGGCGATATAAATCTATCCTGTGTGGGGGAGGTGGGGGCGATATAAATCTATCCTGTTTGGGGGAGGTGGGGGCGATATAAATCTATCCTGTGTGGGGGAGGTGGGGGCGATATAAATCTATCCTGTGGGGGAGGTGGGTGTTAGTGAAACTGTCCAAGTCTATTATAACCCTTCGAACATTGTCATAATGTCATTACCGGTATGTGGTTATGTCACAGCCGTATGTGGTTATGTCACAGCCGTATGTGGTTATGTCACAGCCGTATGTGGTTATGTCACAGCCGTATGTGGTTATGTCACAGCCTTATGTGGTTATGTCACAGCCTTATGTGGTTATGTCACAGCCTTATGTGGTTATGTCACAGCCTTATGTGGTTATGTCACAGCCTTATGTGGTTATGTCATATTCTTGTGTGGTTATGTCACAGCCTTATATGGTTATGTCACAGCCTTATGTGGTTATGTCACAGCCTTATGTGGTTATGTCACAGCCTTATGTGGTTATGTCATATTCTTGTGTGGTTATGTCACAGCCTTATGTGGTTATGTCACAGCCTTATGTGGTTATGTCACAGTCTTATGTCATATTCTTGTGTGGCTAACCATCAACATGAAATTTGTTCTGTTATACACATAGCGTATAACTACACACCACATCCCTTCCATTACACCACACCACATCCCAACCATTCTATAACCACACCACACCCCTACCATTACAACACACCACATCCCAACCATTCTATAACCACACCACACCCCTACCATTACAACACACCACATCCCAACCATTCTATAACCACACCACACCCCTACCATTACAACACACCACATCCCTACCATTACAACACACCACATCCTACCATTACACCACATCCTACCATTACACCACATCCTACCATTACAACACACCACATCCCTACCATTCTATAACCACACCACATCCCTACCATTACACCACATCCTACCATTACACCACATCCTAACATTACACCACATCCTACCATTACACCACATCCCTACCATTACAACACACCACATCCCAACCATTACACCACATCCTACCATTACACCACATCCTACCATTACAACACACCACATCCCTACCATTCTATAACCACACGACAACCACATCAGTACGGACTACACAATTCATTCAGTGTGTGGTTAATCTCACGTAACTGTCTGATGCTAATTGAAATATTTTTTAAAAATATCTCATAAACTGTCAGGTAAACTGATGATAATGTAGAACCAATGGACTAATTTAAATGAGGATTTAGTCTATAATTTAGTATGTATATGTCCCATGTATGGTCTCCTTTCATCATATTATTTAGTTATGTCCCATATATGAATACTAAGCATCATTTAATTTAGTTAAGTCCCCTACAACACAATATCGAATATCAAGCTCCAAAACAAGACGACAGATAGTTTAAGCTGACGCGCATTAAATTACCGTCTGTTTCTTATAGCAAGAGAAGAAAGTATTTTTTAATTAAAACACGACATAGAGAGTTGAGCGGTCACTACAGAAATAAGGAAGTGTTTGCACCAAACCTCACTACCGCTTGTCCATTGAACAAAATTCAAGACATTGTTTGACAGTGGCAGCTGCGACATTTATCAAGTGGTAAGACAACAGAAATATGCTAAGGCAGTAAGATAATAGAAGATAGTCAAATCATAAGAGCTTAACACGAAGTAAGGAATAGGCCTAGAGTTTACAAGGCGTCGCTCTATCCACCAGAGGGGAAGTCAACAAACACATTCAACAACAGAAGCTGGTGTTGGACTAATGCAACCTCGATAAAGACAACTAACACTTTTGAAACTTGGATAAAAAAAAACAACTAACACTTTTGAAACCTGGATAAAAACAACTAACACTTTTGAAACTTGGATAAAAACAACTAACGTTGATATACCATACATGAAAAAACTAAAAACAACAAAGACAGCCTCATCTGAAGGAAGAAATGACACAAGAATAAAAAAAACCAATAAAAAGCAATAATAGCAAGAATTTATTTATAGGGTTCCTGTCTACAGGGCCAGTGCTACCTATAAGGCGAACTAGGCGGTCGCCTAGGGCGCTGACCGTAGGAGGGCGCCCAAATTGGTTGGAAAAACAAATCGAAAGTTTTGACGGGGGGGGGTGGAAAAAGAATGTTTTGAGGGGGGTGTGCAAATCGAAAGTTTGTCCCCGGGCGCCGGGAAGGGTCACTACGCCTCTGATACGGGGGCACGAAAAAAATTGCAGGGGGGGGGGGTGCGCTTTTAATAAGTTTTGCCTAGGGCGCTAAATAACCTGGCGCCTGCACTGCCTGTCTAGACAACTTGAATATAAACAACCAACTAACGAATTCAGATACAATAATTTGTCATCTATAAACAATCAACTAACGAATTCAGACACAAGAATTTGTCACATATAAACAACCAACTAAAAAATTCTGATACTGGAATTTGTCACATATAAACAATCAACATACGAATTTAGATACAAGAATTTGTCACATATAAACAATCAACTAAGTCAGATACTAGAATTGTCATACATCAATAACTTATGCTATATCAACCACCCACAAACAACACATACAGTTACAGGGATGAGTCACATAAAAACAACTAACAAATAAGACACTAGAATTGTCACATATAAACAATCAGCAAACAACAAATACTGACACAGAAATCTGGCACATATAAACAATCAACAAACAAATTCAGTTACAATCAACGAGAACAAGAACTAATTCTTGAATTTGTCACTTTCAAAAATACAAAATAACAAATACAGATAATAGAATTTGTAACATATTCATTTTTTGGAAAAAAATAAAATAATTTAAAAATAAGAAAATATTAAAGAAAGCAAAGTAAAAATTAGGTGTACCATCTTTAAGAATAAACAACAAGAATTTTACATAAAAATTAAGTATTTAAAAAAAATTAAGTGGAAAAACTGTTAGAAAAAAAAGAAAGTCTTTACATATTGGAAAAATAAGTCTTGATTTTTACGCGCGAAATATAATTATTCAAAAGAGTGTAGGACCATTAAAACATTTTAAAACAGCGATACCTTAAATAATAATTTACAAAGAAACTAACAGATTTATTTAGAAAACTTAATAGAGATTTTAGAAAACTTAAACAGGACACATGAACAAGAAAACAAAATAGAGAATTTAGAAAACAAACAGGAGACATCAACAAGGAACAAATAGAGACTTTAGAAAACTTAAACAGGAGACATGAACATGGAAACAAATAGAGACTTTAGAAAACTTAAACAGGAGACATGAACAAGAAAACTTAAACAGGAGACATGAACATGGAAACAAATAGAGACTTTAGAAAACTTAAACAGGAGACATGAACAAGAAACAAATAGAGATTTTAGAAAACTTAAACAGGAGACATGAACATGGAAACAAATAGAGACTTTAGAAAACTTAAACAGGAGACATGAACAAGAAACAAATAGAGATTTTAGAAAACTTAAACAGGAGACATGAACATGGAAACAAATAGAGATTTTAGAAAACTTAAACAGGAGACATGAACATGGAAACAAATAGAGATTTTAGAAAACTTAAACAGGAGACATGAACAAGAAACAAATAGAGATTTTAGAAAACTTAAACAGGAGACATGAACATGGAAACAAATAGAGATTTTAGAAAACTTAAACAGGAGACATGAACATGGAAACAAATAGAGACTTTAGAAAACTTAAACAGGAGACATGAACAAGAAACAAATAGAGATTTTAGAAAACTTAAACAGGAGACATGAACATGGAAACAAATAGAGATTTTAGAAAACTTAAACAGGAGACATGAACATGGAAACAAATAGAGATTTTAGAAAACTTAAACAGGAGACATCAAGAAGAAGCAAATAGAGATTTTATAAAACTTAAACAGGACACATGAAGAAGAAACAAAACGAGATAAATGAGGCAGCTCACCTTGAGAAAACATTTGTTGAGGCTGAGGTTGTGACGGATGGAGTTCTGCCAGCCCTGCTTGTTGTCGCGGTAGTACGGGAAGTTCTTGGTGATGAACTCGTAGATCTGGCTCAAGGTCATCCGCTTCTCGGGGCTCGACCTGATGGCCATCATGATCAGGGCGTTGTAGCTGAAGGGCGGCTTCTCGTTCTTCTTCTCCTCCTCCGTCTTGCCGTCTTTCTCCGTCTTCACCTCGTCCTTCTTGTCCGTGTCGTTATCCTTCCCCGGGCTGTGGACCTCGTCCTCCTCGATGTTGTCCATGTCGTTGGCGTCGTCGTCTACGTCCACGTCGGTGTTGTTGTTTTGGTCCTCGCGGTCAAAGACTGAGTCGGTGCAGGAGGCGGGGGAGCTGCAGTAGCTGGCCCGCTCGTCTGGGGCGCCGTCCTTGACCACGTGACTCCCGTGGGGGTAGCCCAAGTCCTGGTCACGGGCGAACGTATCCGCGGTCAGCTTCTCGTTGCCGTCTCTGGAATAATCCGAATCGTGGTGTAAGGAAATGTCCGCTTCTTTGGAATTGTCCGAACACGGGGAGGGTGAGCGAGGGTGTGTTGTGTGCTGGGATTTGGGCGTGTACACGTCTGTGTTGTGGGATTTGGGTGTGTACACGTCTGTGTTGTACACGGGGACGGGCGAGGGGCGGCACTCGCCGTACCGGAACAAATGGCTGTCATTGGAGAAGACGATGCTGTCGAAGGCTGACTTCCGGCTGCTGTTGCTGTAGGCGGGGTGCACGTGCGCCGTGTCGTGAGCAGCTTCTGTCACGCGGTGGTTCACGGGAAGTCCGTTTTTGAAATTCTTGCCGAAATCGTCAGCTAAGACGCGGCTAATGCTAAACGGGTTGCCCGCCATCTTTGCTGGTGATTCGTTCTTTCCGTCTTGCAGCATACCTGGACACAGTTCAACGCCGGCCGATGTCACGATAGATCAACGCTGACCAGTGGTCAGAACACGGAACAACACTGACCCGTGGTCAGAACACAGAACAACACTGGTCGATAGTTAGCATCGTGATAATGTCAAGGCCGAGTTCAAATCTGTAGCTGAGATTTGAAGTAAATCCGTGGCGGCGACACAAAGAATAAACACAAACTTCACCGAGGGCGCACTCCGACTTGGGCGGCTGGAGACTGGGCGACAAGATATGAGCAATGGTGGCAGCTCGGTGTAGAGAGAAATCCCAGGAGTCGTCTGATGAAATGGATGCGGACAACAAGCGACAAAGTGAGAAGAACCGACAGGACCCGGCAACTTTATACGTCCTGGACGTGCTCCGTACGTCTGCTGCAAGTGACGGCCTGCCCGGGCGGCCGGGGCTGTCACTGGGGCGGGGCCTGCACGCCAGCAGCCAATACCGGCGCGGATGAATATCCCTAGCACGCGATACCCGCGCGGCCAACCAATCACGTGTCTGTCGGTGTATCTGTCAATAAAACTGAGGTCGCCTCCTAGTGGGACGTACGGCCGGTGTGAGCGCTCTGTCCAGCTGCCGCGCTCACCTAGCGTGGACGCCATGATACCACTGCCAACCACTGTCAGTAACCTTTAATGAACGTGAATCTTCAGCGCAGTACGCCGGGCCGGCGTTGATATCTCCCGTCCTGCTACACTGTAATTTTTCAATTTTATTTGCGTTCAAGCTGTCTATTACATTTTTCCTTTCTTCAGACCAACATTAGACGGGATTCATATCTTCATTTCCAACATCGTTTTTTACAGCGACTTAAACGGAGTAAAAATACTAACGATACAATGATAGGTCTTTAAGCAATAGCAGAAATTAATTACTCATTAGTGAAATAAATAATTACACGGAGCGCGTAGCTGGAATGGGCATGACGTATTGCGTGGATATTGTGAGTGTGTGTCGGGTTAGACCTCCATCTTTGTATGTTGTATGTGTGTCGTGTTTAGATGAAACTTCCTTTCTGTATGTTGTATGTGTGCCGTGTTTAGAAGAAACTTTCTGTATATTGTATGTGTGTCGTGTTTAGAAGAAACTTTCTGTATATTGTATGTGTGTCGTGTTTAGAAGAAACTTTCTGTATATTGTATGTGTGTCGTGTTTAGAAGAAACTTTCTGTATATTGTATGTGTGTCGTGTTTAGAAGAAACTTTCTGTATATTGTATGTGTGTCGTGTTTAGAAGAAACTTTCTGTATATTGTATGTGTGTCGTGTTTAGAAGAAACTTTCTGTATATTGTATGTGTGTCGTGTTTAGAAGAAACTTTCTGTATATTGTATGTGTGTCGTGTTTAGAAGAAACTTTCTGTATATTGTATGTGTGTCGTGTTTAGAAGAAACTTTCTGTATATTGTATGTGTGTCGTGTTTAGAAGAAACTTTCTGTATATTGTATGTGTGTCGTGTTTAGAAGAAACTTTCTGTATATTGTATGTGTGTCGTGTTTAGAAGAAACTTTCTGTATATTGTATGTGTGTCGTGTTTAGAAGAAACTTTCTGTATATTGTATGTGTGTCGTGTTTAGAAGAAACTTTCTGTATATTGTATGTGTGTCGTGTTTAGAAGAAACTTTCTGTATATTGTATGTGTGTCGTGTTTAGAAGAAACTTTCTGTATATTGTATGTGTGTCGTGTTTAGAAGAAACTTTCTGTATATTGTATGTGTGTCGGATTTAGAAGAAACTTCCTTTCTGTATGTTGTATGTGAGTGAGGTTTTGACTTACATCTCCCTTTTTTAATTACCTGTATCACATTATGTAAGCGGACTTTAAAAAATCGAATAGGTTTTAGGCGTTTATCAACTTTTGACGGGTTTATGGCTAATCAGCTATAGGGGATCTTCCATAATTTACTGTACTGCGGGTAAAATGATTTTATTTCTACCACCATAGCATACATTGTTGGATACATTTTTGTTGTAGTCCAGATTATTGGCTGCACAGTAACTTTTTGGGGTGCACATCTTTCTGTTTGTCGCAAATTTATGTTTTGGGGTGCACATCTTTCTTTTTGTCGCACATTCATGTTTTGGGGTGCACATCTTTCTGTTTGTCGCACATTCATGTTTTGGGGTGCACATCTTTCTGTTTGTCGCACATTCATGTTTTGGGGTGCACATCTTTCTTTTTGTCGCACATTCATGTTTTGGGGTGCACATCTTTCTGTTTGTCGCAAATTTATGTTTTGGGGTGCACATCTTTCTTTTTGTCGCACATTCATGTTTTGGGGTGCACATCTTTCTGTTTGTCGCAAATTTATGTTTTGGGGTGCACATCTTTATGTTTGTCGCACATTCATGTTTTGGGGTCACATCTTTCTGTTTGTCGCACATTCATGTTTTGGGGTGCACATCTTTATGTTTGTCGCAAATTTATGTTTTGGGGTGCACATCTTTCTGTGTGTCGCAAATTTATGTTTTGGGGTGCACATCTTTCTGTTTGTCGCAAATTTATGTTTTGGGGTGCACATCTTTCTGTTTGTCGCAAATTTATGTTTTGGGGTGCACATCTTTCTGTTTGTCGCAAATTTATGTTTTGGGGTGCACATCTTTCTGTTTGTCGCAAATTTATGTTTTGGGGTGCACATCTTTCTGTGTGTCGCAAATTTATGTTTTGGGGTGCACATTTTTCTGTTTGTCGAATCTCGCTTTTGATTAATTTTATCTAATTAATAACATCTAATTATCTCATAGTTCATGCCACACTGGGACGGCCGCTGACTTAGTTTGGTGCCAGAAAGGGACATTTTGATTTCAAGTTTCGGCCCATCATTAAGCAAAAAAGAATTATCAAGTTAAATAAAAGCTTGTAATAAAAAACAACACCTACGGCCCGATCCAAATACTTACTGTAATCTTCACCCTGCCCTTATTACTAATCCTAACCTTATGATAGCAGAGATAATAGACGACAGTTTAAATTTTTTAATCTGAATTAATTCAATAGAGACTGGCCTATGAAATAACTCTATAATGCAACTAAAAAATAAAAATAAAAGATACATTTTTAAGAAAACGTAATACAATTAAAACAGTGTTTCTTCCAGACTTTTTTCTCCGGGGGGGGGGGGGGGGGGCACTTGAAATTTTCGGGGGGGGGGGGGGCGGTAGACTTTCTTCGGGGGGGCGGACACTGTTAAAAGTATATATTTTCAATATAAATTATATAAATTTCATTTCGTTCGGGGAAGAAACTGAATAAAAAGACACCATATGAAATTTTAGAATATACACTGACTAACATAAAAAAAGCGACTAAGCAACACAAGCTATGTGTAATGAAACGTAAAACACTGACCAATATAATATAACAACATTAAAATCCTATCATAAAACTGAAATCTGACCATAATAAAACTAACTCCTAACGTGAAAATTGTATTAAAAAACAGACTACATTAAACCTAAGAAGGCAATAATGCACCCGAAGGAAAACATATATCTCATAAATCCCCCCCCCCCAAACCTAGACAAAGTTGCGAATTTCACACGTGACGTAGGATCCGATAACTTCCCCACCTCCAACATAGATCACTTTCACGGTCGATTTTCATAACCTGGCCAGCTAACAAATCAAACCTCGGCCACATCTAGTGGCCAACATCATGATGATCTGGCCAGCTAACAAATCAAACCTTGGTCACATGATGATCTGGCCAGCTAACAAATCAAACCTCGGCCACATCTAGTGGCCAACATCATGATGATCTGGCCAGCTAACAAATCAAACCTCGGTCACATCTAGTGGCCAACATCATGATGATCTGGCCAGCTAACAAATCAAACCTCGGCCACATCTAGTGGCCAACATCATGATGATCTGGCCAGCTAACAAATCAAACCTCGGTCACATCTAGTGGCCAACACCATGATGATCTGGCCAGCTAACAAATCAAACCTCGGCCACATCTAGTGGCCAACATCATGATGATCTGGCCAGCTAACAAATCAAACCTCGGTCACATGATGATCTGGCCAGCTAACAAATCAAACCTCGGTCACATCTAGTGGCCAACATCATGATGATCCGGCCAGCTAACAAATCAAACCTCGGTCACATGATGATCTGGCCAGCTAACAAATCAAACCTCGGTCACATCTAGTGGCCAACATCATGATGATCCGGCCAGCTAACAAATCAAACCTCGGTCACATGATGATCTGGCCAGCTAACAAATCAAACCTCGGTCACATCTAGTGGCCAACATCATGATGATCCGGCCAGCTAACAAATCAAACCTCGGTCACATGATGATCTGGCCAGCTAACAAATCAAACCTCGGTCACATCTAGTGGCCAACACCATGATGATCTGGCCAGCTAACAAATCAAACCTCGGTCACATGATGATCTGGCCAGCTAACAAATCAAACCTCGGTCACATGATGATCTGGCCAGCTAACAAATCAAACCTCGGTCACATGATGATCTGGCCAGCTAACAAATCAAACCTCGGTCACATCTAGTGGCCAACATCATGATGATCCGGCCAGCTAACAAATCAAACCTCGGTCACATGATGATCTGGCCAGCTAACAAATCAAACCTCGGTCACATCTAGTGGCCAACATCATGATGATCCGGCCAGCTAACAAATCAAACCTCGGTCACATGATGATCTGGCCAGCTAACAAATCAAACCTCGGTCACATGATGATCTGGCCAGCTAACAAATCAAACCTCGGTCACATGATGATCTGGCCAGCTAACAAATCAAACCTCGGTCACATGATGATCTGGCCAGCTAACAAATCAAACCTCGGTCACATCTAGTGGCCAACATCATGATGATCCGGCCAGCTAACAAATCAAACCTCGGTCACATGATGATCTGGCCAGCTAACAAATCAAACCTCGGTCACATCTAGTGGCCAACACCATGATGATCTGGCCAGCTAACAAATCAAACCTCGGCCAGATCTAGTGGCCAACATCATGATGATCTGGCCAGCTAACAAATCAAACCTCGGCCACATCTAGTGGCCAACATCATGATGATCTGGCCAGCTAACAAATCAAACCTCGGCCACATCTAGTTGCTGACATCATGATGATCTGGCCAGCTAATAAATCAAACCTCGGTCACATCTAGTGGCCAACATCATGATGATCTGGCCAGCTAACAAATCAAACCTCGGCCACATCTAGTGGCCAACATCAAGATGATCTGGCCAGCTAACAAATCAAACCTCGGCCACATCTAGTGGCCAACATCATGATGATCTGGCCAGCTAACAAATCAAACCTCG